GTCCTGGCACTCATCGAGGCCGGGATCGCGAAAGGGCGTGCAAAAAAATTGACGAGCATTCGCCGAAAGAGCGTGGCACCGGGCAGGGCGTGGTCGGAGCACCAGATTGGTATACGCGAAGGGGTCGAGGAGCGATTGAACTGAACTGACGAGGACTGTTGCGGGGTCGACACTGGAAGTACAATGCAGCGATTGATTTTCCAGCGAGGGTGGAGGGCAGTGTTCCTGCGGCGACAGAACTTTCTACTCCCTTCCGCATTGAAGTGTTGGAGAGCCATGTCTTTGTTCTCCACCCGTCTTTTCCTGATTTGAGTGCACATTTGAGGTTGAACAACTGCCGCGCTGCGCTGAAATTCCTCCCTCATTTGCGCCTCTCTTGTCGTCCATGACCCTGCTTGAACCGAGTATTTGGGCGTCCGTTTGCAGGGTTTGGATATGTACTTGGCGGCTTTTACTGCGGAAGCAAGCCAGAATTCAGGCGATTCCTCTCGACGTACAGGCTTGATCGTGTAATCATCATAACTGGCTCAGTATGCAACCAATCGAACACTTTCAAAACCTCTCCGACCCAAATCTTTGAACCTCAATTTCTCGCCAACCAGCAATCACATCCACTTTGCCTTCAAACCACGGCAGGGCATTGTATTGGTACTCTTTGATAAAGAGCAGCGATGGTTCAAAAGTTGCATACAGGCCGAGAAAAACACAATCTTGTGTTTGAGCCAAGGACGGTTTTGAAAGCGTTCCAATCAGGGAGGACAGCAAAGCGGACGCGACCAGGAACAACATAGTACGAAAGCGGTGGGGTGACCGCAAACGCAGGGACATTTTGCAGGGAGGTATGGCCCCTTCGTTTCACGTACTTGTCGTCGGCATGGGTGCTCTGACGGCCGCTGCCACAGACGCAACGAGTTCTCGCAGCAGCTAGAGCGCGCGGCAGTGGTTCAGGCGTGCAAGAGTTGAAACGAACAGGTGCAGGTTTGTATTTACAGCGAGCGGTCCCACAGGTGACCGTGATGACCACCATCACCCACTCACGCTCCCTTCCCCCCCATCAACCGAAAAATGGACAATGTTGGGCACAAGCAAGAGATGTGATGCGTCGCCCACGACATGGTGGACGGACGTGAAAAGAGAACGGCGAAAACCGAAGGAGAACGACAAGAGCGAAACCAAAAGGTCACACACGTTTGGATACACATGGGGCCGGCGCACGTGCACGGCATCGGGCCCCTCACTTCAACCTCCTCAAACCGCGATCCAGGGTCGCCTTACTCGAGGCGATGGCGGCGCGACGCGTGGGCGCGGCGGCCGTGATGCTGCCCCTTGCGGATCCACTCAAGAATGCGCACGACGCGGAACCCGTCCTCGTCGTCATCATCATCGTCGTCGTCGTCACCGGGCTGCTCGGGCGTCGGCTCCTCGGGCAGGGGCTCCTCGGGCACCGAGTCGACGCCGCCCGTGAAGATCAACCGGTTGGGCGTGACACCGGCCTCGTCGTCGTCACCGCCGTAGGGCGGGGGCCACGGGAAGGGCCACTTGGGCTGCTCGGGCTTCTTCTTGGACGGCTGCGGAAGGCCCTTGATTGCGTTCTTGGTCGAGAGCTCAATGACGAGGTCCTTGAGTTCCTGGCCCGTGAAGTCCTTGTCCGGGTTCTGCGAGAGCAGGTAGGCGAGCAGGCCGGCCGTGTGCGGAGAGGCCATCGACGTGCCGGAAATGATGTTGGTAGCCGTCTTGGACCCAATCCACGTCGACAGAATGTCCTTGCCGGGCGCAATCACGTCCACGCACTTGCCGTAGTTGGAGAAGTAGGCGAGCTTGCTAAAAATCGGGAGGCAGGAAGGGTTAGTCACTGCGATCATCACGGCCATCACCAATAAAATCAGGTCAGAAGTGAAACAGAGACGCACTCGTCAATCGCCGAGGCACCGACCGTCACGGCCTTGGCAGCCGCCGCGGGCGAGTAGTTGCACGCGTTGCGCGCGTCGTTTCCGGCCGCCACGGCAAAGTGCACGCCGGCATCGACGGCCGCGTCGACGGCGCGGTCGAGCACGCGCGACTTGCCGCCACCAAGCGACATGTTGGCGACCGACTTGGGCTTCTTGCCGTTCTTGGCCTTCTTGGCGCGCTGCTGGTGGTGCGTGACAGTGAACTCGACGCCCTTGACCACATCCGACATGCTGCCGGATCCGTTGTCGCCGAGCACCTTGATGGCGACAATCTTGGCGTTCTTGGAGACGCCGTACGTCTTGCCGGCAATCGTGCCTGCACAGTGCGTGCTGTTTGTGGAGAAAGGGAATCAATGCGTCAGGTTCATTCGTATAACAGAGTCAACGCGTCGGCAGCGAAGAAATTCGACGCGTACCCATGGCCGTTGCCGTCCGTGTCGGACGCGCCCTCTGGGATCGTCGCGCCCCACTCAGCGCGCCCTTCAAACTCAACGTGGTCCACGAAAACACCAGTGTCCACGACATAGGCCGTGACGCCCTCGCCGGCATCGGCTGCGTGCGGGTACTCCTTGTAGTGCGCCGGGTCCGGGCGTGCGCGGTGCGAGATGCGGCTCAGACCCCACGGCGCGTTCTTTTGCGTGTAATGGTGCGTGCTGTTGTCGTTGCCGGTAACGGACGGCGGGTAGAGCGTGCGCACGACCTGGTCGGGCTCGACGAAGGCGACGAGCGGCGACTTGCGAATGGCACTGAGAACATGGGGGTCGAATTTGCCGGCGTACCCGCGCGGCGCGTGGCGGTGCTCGGGATTATACACGTGCTTGATCTTGTTGAGCGCGTCGGTACCGTGCACGTTGGCGCGCATGGCGAGGACCGTGGCCAGCCAGTTGAAGTGCACGGCCATGTGCTCGGGCTCAATGTCGTCGTGCAGGACCACGAGGTACTGGCCCGGAATGACGGTCGCAGCGTCGGGCTCGGGCGCAACGAGCGGGGCAAAGACCGTGTCACGCGACCGCGGCGCGGCCTCGACAACGGCGGCGCCCGTCATGGCCGCAAAGAGCGCCACGACGAGCAGGGCGCGGGCAGCGGCGGGCGCGCGCATCTTGGAGAGAGCGGAGGAAAAGAGGTCGGATTGGGGTGTTGTGCGTGGCAGGGACGAGGATTGTGGTTGTTTGGTGCAGGCGAAGTGCGCGGTGGGGAGGGGAGCGGCACAGCAGGTGCTGCGTGTGCGCCGGGTGGTGGGGAGCGAAGGCAGATTGGGCCGCGGGCGCCCGGTTTATATAGGGGAGCCGGCGAGCCTTGGCGGTCGCTGGTGAAGACGTGGGGAGGGAGAGTGGATGCGAGCGGATGCGAGACGTGTTCGCGGCCGTGCCGTGCCGTTGTGCGCGACGCGTCAGCACGCGCGCATGGGTGGTGCGGTGAGCGCGCCTTGTGACGCGATGGCCCGCCTGACCGAGGCCACGCAACCGACCCGCGTGCTGGCGCCAACGCGGTCGCGTGCGCGCCGCGAGACGCTGCGAGACGCTTCCGCCTCGGAAACACGCCGCCGTCGCTCGCCGCCGCGACGATGAGGACGCTGCGGTTAACGATTGAGATCCTGGAATCGGCCCTGCGTGCGCACATCACCCGACCTCTCATTGTTGCGGCCAACGGCGTAAAGAGTCTCATGGGCGCGCGCGGCCGCACGTCGTCACCGAGCCAACTGTCGCGACAGTCTCACCAACTCTCTGCAGCTATTCAAGGCTTATGTACAATGAACCAAACTTGTAGCTGGTTCCCAACGTCGCCAACGTCGCCAACGTCGCCAGTGTCCTCACCAACGAGCACCAGGCGCGCGAGTCGTACGTCGCGGGCCGGCCGCTGTGCGCGCCAGCGGTGCACCCCACACTTGTGCAGCAGGGCACTCCATCATGCCCAAAATTTGCCGCCCGAAAACGACACTTGCGACATGAAGTACTCGTGCTCGGCCTTGCCGCCCGTGACCTTGCCTTTGCCCGGACCCGCCCGTGCCGTCGGCATCGTCGCGCTGCCGAGACTTTTGGTGCGCCCGCGCGGAGTGTCGTTACTGCGACCACTCTCCTCGGTCGCGGCATCGACCGTGTCCGCTACTAACTGCGCCGGTGCTTGGAACCCGACAACCGGTGCGGGCTCGTTCGCAACAGCACCCGCGGCCGTCCTGGTCAGCGCGTCAGTTGAAAAATGAACGCCAGGTACACTCCCAACGGGACCGGGTCTCGTCGGCGACAAAATCGGCCCCGTCGACGTGCGCCGGTGCGCAGCGACCGCGGCCATGGCCGCGGCAAACGATCCGGCGGTCGGGCTTGCGGCCGACCATGACGCGCCCAGCAAACTGGATCCGACAGAATTGCCGGCACCGACAGAACCGGCTGACGTGGACAGTTGCGTCGTCGGTAGCGTCGCCGACGTCGGCGCGGCCGCACGGATGCGATCGGCGGTGCTGGCGCGTGGTGGGATGGCGAGTGCGGTTGGGCCGGACATGGCGGGAATGGCTGGCGGCGCGGTCAGGTCGGCATCGTGAGTGGTGGATGTGCTGGGTGCGGTTGCGGTAGGTCGTGGCACGCGCTCGGCCATTGCCCGGATCAAAGTCTTCTGTCGGATCACCTCAAAGTAGAGGTGCACGCCAAAAAAGTTGTGGCAGCCGTCGGCGGCCAGAACCGTAAGGAACACCGAACTTGAGCGTGATGAATCAAAGGCTAATTTGCTAATTACGCTCCAGATGAGAATGGATGGCTGTTTCATACCCCAAGGTGGCAGAGATCTTCGATAAACCACCTTTCTGCAGACTCAAAAGTCGTCGAGGGGGCCATTTTGGATGACGGGCCAGCTCAGGTAAAGAGCACCATGTGCAACTCCCTGACCGGTGCTGCCGATGCTCGTGTCGCTCAAACGTGGGGGTTGAATAACTTTCGATTTTGCCAGAAATAGGTTTGACCTGTTGGTTTGAGTCGTCAACGTGGGAGATGATAGGCAACAGTCATAAAAAGACATCCCGCTCATGTGCGTGTTTACGATTTATGGAACAGCGTGATCTGACACCCGTGGCGAGGGTCGAACTCGCGATTTCCGGCTTAGGAGGCCGACGACTTAGCCACTTGTCTACACGGGCATGCACTTTTCTCACTACCACAATTTATGACCGTCCGTTCAACTCTATTGCAAATCAAAAATGCACTTCCGCCCTGACATTTATCTTCAAATTGCAATATGTGTCTTCTCCAACGCCGTCCTCACTGCATCCACGTCACCTGCTTCGCGCGTCGGCGAGTGATCGCCGCTCGCACCGTCCACCGCGTCTTTGCGGCCCCCTACCACCGCCTTGGCCATCTTCTTCGCGGCTTTGCGCTCCTTCTTCCTCGTCCGCTCCAGATCAGCCTTTTGCCGCGCCGTCATGCGCCCTCGCGACGCACCGGTCGTGGTCGACTTGGCTACGGTCGGTTCGGGAGTCGCGTCGCCTGACGTGGTGGGTTCGTGCTCCTTGTCGGCCGAGGGAATCGACACGGCTTCGTCGGGCGTCGTCGGGTCGGCCGTCTCGGTCGGCGCCACAGGTGTCGAGTCGACCTTGTCCTCAACCTCATCCTCGACCGAGTCCACCGCGTTACTCGGTTCCGGGTCACGACGCTCCTGATCGTTTGCGGCATCCTCCGCTCCTGCGCTTGGCGGATCTACAGGCCCGACTTTCCCGCGGCGCTTACGGCCCTTATCCTTGCCTGCGGCCGCTGGTAACGCAGCAGATGCCCACCGTTCCAGTGCCGCAGGCGGTGGAGCCGAGCGCACTCCTCCGTCGGGTGCTGCCGACGAGTAGTGTTCCCACGAATGGTACACTACGTTGACGGTGCGCGGCGGCATGTCTGCACTCGCGTCGTCGGGGGTCGGTGCGACGACCCATGGCGGGTGGCCCACTTGGTGGATGACCTAGTGGCACAGATCGTCAGGGTGGGGCCCGAAAACGAGAAAGGGAGAAGACGGAGCGGAACGCACCACGGTCAGGTTCAGTGCACGTGCCAGCGCGACCACCTCCATGTTCCCGCCTAGCGTGCGGACGCAACGGTCAATTCCGCACCCGCAAACAGCACATCCGCGTCGCAGACCACGCACCATACACGCCATCTTTGGCCATGCGCACGAGGTGTCGGTCAAACGGCTCGTCGTCCTCGACAAACGGCGCGAAATCAGGTTCGTGCGCGCGCATGAATTCGACACAGGCGCGGCGCAGGTTGCGGTGGAGCGATTCGGCGCCCGTCAGCTGGTGCGCTACAAACGCGGTTCGGGCGCGAATGAGAGCGTGATGCTGGCGAGACGGAGCGAGGATCGGCAGCGAGCAGAACCAACGAACCAACAGCGCGAAACAAGCAATTTCCTGTCGATAATAGGAGCAATTACAAAGGGTCAGTCGATCACCCGCCACGTGAATCCATCAACTACGAGCGCAATAGCTCTAAATACGAGCATCGCATGCTCTCACCGAAGCCGGTGCTCTTCCCGACCCCCTTCGAGCATGAGCGACGCAAAAAACGCACCATCACCCGTAATCTCGACGAGGTTCAATCCCAGGCTCGCAAGTTGCGGCTTGAGAGCCTTGGTATCCGCATCCCAGTCCTGATCTGTCCAGGCCTACGATAGCTCCGTGGTCAATGGTGCACGATCATTGTCGTTGTACGCGGCCACGGTGCAGTAATGCGTGTCATGATCGAAGCGTGCCGAACCTTGCGTTCCTTGCGCTTGCCCTTCTTGGTCGATTTGGCATCCGCGGATCCAACTGCGTTGACAGTCGATGCGGGGGCGGCGCTGTTGCTGCCACGCTTTTTACTCGACGTTGCTGCTACTTTTTTGTCGGTCTTGCGTTGTGATCGGGCCATGGATTGGTTGTTGGTTGTAGAGAACCATAGGTCGCAGCCTTTGCTTGCGAAGTGGGATGCTGAGGTGTGTGGCTGAGGGCCAACCACCAACGCCAGACCAGCGACAATCGACGTGACGGTCAACGATCACAAACGGAATGAATGGTCTACCAGACGGGCCCAAATGAATTTCAACCCCAAACAAACGCGCTCCCGCGTCGTCCACGACAAGCACGTCGAGCTGGAATAAAACGAAAGCGGCGGCGTTCCCCATTCGAGAGAAAAAACGACGAGAGAGAGAACGAGAGCACAGCAGTTGAACGGCCACGAAAATCACCGGCCCGAAAAAGAAAGAAAAAAAAACAGCGAAACAGAAAGGCAACGACGGCAACAAACGACACGGGAATCAAGCAGTTATGACGACGACGGCACCAACGCGCGACAGTGAGTGATCGAGCGGGCCCGGCAGCATCGGCGACGGCCTATCGCGCGCCGACCCTCCCCCAACCACGCCCACTCTACTCGTCGGCCGACACACAGCAGAAAATCCGACGCAGCATCGACGGCTTGCGGCGCTGCGGTGCGTGCGGCGGCGGCTGTTGCTGCTGCTGGTACGTCGCTGGTGGCGCACCCGCGGCCTGCGGCGACGACGACTCGTTCGCCGCGTTGGCGGCCGCCGATCGTTGCGCGGTATTCCGTGCCGGATCGAGGGTCGCTGACGCGCGGTTCGCGGTCGTGCTTGTGCCGGGCGGCAATGCTTGCTGCGACGACGACGCGTGGTGGCCCTGCGACGTCGGCAAGTGCGGCGGCGACGTGGGCTGCGATGGATGTCCGTGGGCCTGGAGGTGAAAACGAATGCAATTGCAGGTACAGAAACGAACGACGAAACACAATGAACAGACACGGGGGGAGGTAGCAATGGTAGGGTGCGCCGGATGATTTGAGGAGGCACGAGTGGAGGTGGGCAAGGAACGGTCGGAAAACCAGGTATCGAGGCCAACGGGGACGTGGCGATAAAGAGGGCAGGGAGGGTGAAAAACGATGGGGGGTACGGATAACGCGAGAAAAGAAGGTAGGATCGAGAATGGGAGGAGGGAGGGGAGCGAAAAGATACTGGTCAACCTTCAAACTTCCACATTCAAGAAGAGCGACAGCGAGCGCGCACGGTGCCGGTGGGCCCACGAATTTCCGGCGTTGTGTTTCAAACGACACACATGACCGCCACGTCCGATCGTTGACCAGTGCGGTCTCGCTTTCCAGGCGCGGGGACAAGATGTCCGGGGCTGGTCAATGACGCCGGCGCGGACGGTGGAGGAGAACGAGGCGCGGGGGTGCCGCTCGGGCACCGGTGCAAAGAAATAGAGTTACGTACGTAGGTCACATCGGCTCCATTGGTATTCGACGGTCCCGCGGCGGCCGCGGCCGAAGCTTGCGCGGTGGCGTGCGTGCCCGCCGTGCCGTACTTGTTGGCATAGTTGGCGCACGCCTGCTGCCATTGCTCGGTCGAGTGCCAGTCGAAGACGTTGTCCTCGACGAGCCCGTGCCGTTCGAGGCACTTGTCAAAGAGGCCGAGCAAGTACTTGTAGTCGGGCTCCTCCTCAAAGCCGAGCTTGCGCACGTACGTCAGGTACTCGGCAAACTCTTGCGGGCACCGCTCGCCGAGCTCCGAGACGGGCGTGAGTTGCTTCTTTTCGCCAATCTTCTCGTACTTTTGCTTGTTGGTCTGCGCCTTGAGTCCCTGCCACGGCAATGACCCGCGCAAGAAGTAGAAGAAGACGTGGCCGAGTGCCTCGAGATCGTCGCGACGCGATTGCTCTAAAAGAAGGGAGTGCAGAAAGAATCAGCTCATGAACTAGGAAGGCACGAAAATAACACGAAAAAAGCGTACCGCGGCCCATGTGCGTATTGATCGACATGTAGCGCGCCGTGCCCGACAGCGACTTGCGCTCGCGGTAGGGGATGTGCTGCTTGGTTTTCGGGTCGCGGTAATGTTTTGCCATGCCAAAGTCGACCATGTAAATGGTGTTGGCCGTCTTGGTGCCCGGGCGGCCAATCAAGAAATTGTCGGGCTTGATATCGCGGTAGATGAGCGATTTTTCGTGAACTGTCCAGACGCGGTTGACCTATGCACATCAGTTGTCGAATGCGCGAACACGTCAGAAATCAAACAAGTGATATGAGCGCGATTAGAAGTGGCGTTGCCACACACGCACCATGGCCTTTGCGAGCATGCACGTCGTCTTGATAGAAAACTTGCGCCCGCACATGTCAAACGCGTCCTCGAGCGACGGCCCGAGCAGATCAATGACGAGAATGTTGTGCAGCCCCTCCTGGCCAAAGTAGTAGGTCAGCGGGATGCCCTCTACAAGAATTGATGACAGGTTTTGTCGTTAGTGTTTCAGCGCGCATTAAAGGTAAAAAAGCAAAATGCGTCGGGCAAAGGAAAACGAACCGCATCCTGCGAGGATCTTGTAGGTCCTGAACTCATCGCGCAGCTGCGGGGCCTCGGACTTGCGCGACTCAAACTTGATGGCGACTTGGGTGTTGTTCAGCAAATTGGTGCCCTCGTAGATGACGCCAAAGGACCCTTCGCCGATCTTGCGGCCGACCTTGTAGTGCACGCCGACAATGTTGGGCGAGGTCGACATGGCCGAGAACGCGGCGCGGAAGCCGAGCGAGTTGGGCGCAAGGGCAGGGAACGGAGCCGCCAAGAGATCAAGATCTACAATGACCATCGCGATGTTGCGGGTGCGGGGGCAGGTGTAGGAGCAAGTGGGATCGCGAGCGTGCGTTAGCACCGAGAGACGGGATGCAAGGGCAACCGTGAACCATGGCCGCGTTCGAGAGGGGGTGGAGAGAAGGGAAGAACGACTCAAGGTTCGAATGGAGCGAAGGGAGCATGGTACGGGCGGCTGCGGCGGCCCGAGCATGCATCGAAGTACGCCACGGGGGCCATCATTCTTAGACCGTCCCCCTTGGGCTCATCGAGGGCGTTGTGCGGCGCTCGTCGCGTGGACGTGCATTGTCGGGCTCGACCGCGATGGTTGACTCGCGTCGGATGCCGTCGTTTCGCCCGCGGATGCGGCGCGAGGCAACGCCTTGGCGAGGCTGGTGGCCCAAGTTGCCGAAGACGCGCGCGCGTTGGACCCGGGTAAAGTGTCGTGCAGCGCGGCGTCAGACCCGGTGGCGGCCGCGCAATTTTGGTCCACGTTTAGCACGGCGGGTGCGGCGTTTTTCAACGAGCAGTTGTTGCCGGAGCGGCACAACGGGC